TGATGATTTTGAATTCGAATACCCATTTCGCCATGATTATCATCCTTGGTTAGTCAGCAGTAAAGTCTACGAACTGCAACCATTTACTACCGCATTAAGCATATATATATATTGATTTGTCAACTTTGGACACCACAATGCCAAAAGAATACTTAAGGATTAATCTCAGACATTGACCCATGGTTCATTTGACACAAATCTCCGGGACCATAGATAGGTATATCTCTTTCATTAAGGGTTGTCAAATATGAAAGCAAATGTCATCTGAAGTTTACTGAGAAAATATTGTGTGAAATGTTCGTTTTTATCATTGATAACATCTATGTAAAATTTAGGGGTAAGACATGTAGGCAAGAAGCTCAACGGGAACCAATCAGACATCCCTTTTGCTGATCTGTTTCTTTACGCATATGAATCGAACTTTCTGACGAATTGGCAAAGTGAAAAACAAGTTAATTTTGCCAAGAAGTTTAAGTTAAGCTTCAGGTATATCGATGATCTGATATGATGAAATAACCATCAAAATGTCAATTCCCTTCCACTGATTTACCTAGAAATAAAGGAGACCAGTGAAACCGCCTCGTCTGTGACATGTTGAGATCTGTGCATAAAGAGTCAGGGTGACAAAACACTCTCCACAAAACTGTATCACAAGAGGGATGCCTTCAACTTTCCAATCGTCAGTTTTCCTTGTGTGCCAAGCAATATCTCAGCAGGTCCAGCCTTTGGTGTCGAGCTTGCTCTTTTAACGAAGATTTTAAAGAGAGCCATACAACTCAAGGCTACAACATTCAAAGTCTCAGTAAAACTTTCAATAAGTGGTTTGTGGATGTGTGTGGACGACATTTTCAAATTTGACGCATCAGTGACAAACATGTTGTCCGATGCTATTCCCTATTTTGACTTGTAGCATATGTTCCCGTGTTGTTTTCAATTTTACTTGCCTTTGCAAGTGTTTGTGACGGGTGCCAACGTTGGGACAGGAAACGCTGTCCTTTTCGCGAACACCTGGTATCATCACTATTTGATAGTTGTTCATATGCACATGCTCAGTCGTACAATAGACTCTTTTTAGCACAAATTTCTTGTGGCTATGAACATGGTTCGCTAATAGTTTCATTTGAGCGAATGTCTGTCAGACGGGGTCCAACCTATAGTTGAATCTGTGAGGAGTTAGGCAATCAACACTTACGTGTTATGCAAGGTATGTGAGTGACGGTTGCTATCGTTCGGACAGGACATACCTACCTTTTCCGACCCGTCAAGATCCGGGTGAGATTAGGTTTCCACAAGCAGTACTTGCCGTAAAAGGCGACTATGGTTGTCGTAAGAGGCGACTAAAGGGATTGGGTGGTCAGGCTCGCTGATTTGTTGTTGCATGTTATCGAATCCTAATAGCGAAGATCAATGCTCATGATGCCAATCACTGCATTGTCTGGTTCAGACCGCTGTCATATAGCTGGAATATTGCTGAGTGCGGCGTTAAAAAACAAACAAGCAAACAAACAAACGTTTGCGTTTGTTTGTTCGCGAACACCTGATGTCATTACTGGTGTCAACATTTCGCGTCAACACGTCACGAAGCCTTATAGACTATATTCTTTTACCGTCATGGCTACGGAACTTCATTACAGACTGTTACATTAAAGCAAGCTGTCCTTATGTAATATCTGATAACTTTCCTTGTCATATTTCTATATCACAAGAAGGGCTAACTAGCCACGATCAAAATATAAAGCGAGTTATCCCTAAGTGGGAAAAAGCAAATAAGACTAATATTTCTATGTTTCAAGCAGAAGTTGATAGATATATTAAATGTGCATATGATGGCAATCCAGATCCCCACTCCTTAGATCCACTAAATTTAGAAAACCAATGTGACATCATAAATGAAATTCTTATACATGCAGGTAACAAATGTATCCCACAAAGTGTGTTTAAGCCCTTTCTTAAACCATTTTGGAGACAAGATGGTCTTGATAACGCACACTATCGTATGAGGGTGGCTCGAAGAGCTTGGATCCAAAATGGTAGATCGAGAGATAAAGATTCAAACGAACGTATATCTTACAAAAATGAAAAAAAGGTGATTTAGACGCCTTTATCGCAAATCCAAAAAAGGTAAAAGGAAGGAAGTCCTTACAGAAATAGAAAAATCATCTGAACTTGATATACATTCCTTTTACAAAACTGTAAGAAAGCAAAGGTCACATACTACAGATATAACAAAACTCAACTTGAGGGGGAGAGTGTCACAACACCCTCGGACATTTGTAGATTGTGGGGAAAATATTACTCTGATCTAGCTAAGCCATATTGCTCAGACACTTTTGATGAAAATTTTCGAAAAGAAATATCTTCTTCCCTAGAACGTATTCACGAAGAGATAGGGGCACATGATGAGGAACTAGAAAGACAACTTTCCACTGTAGAAGTAAATGAAACTGTAAAACACTGAGTAGAAACAAGTCCCCTGGTCCTGATAAAGTTACAAACGAGCATATCATTCACGGGGGTGAATCCTTGATAAGATATCTGTGTGCCCTGTTTAATGCTATGTTAAGACTACAACACATTCCTTTTAATTATAGACTAGGAATGGCCATTCCTATAATCAAGGGTAAGAATGACAAATCGGATCCCCGAAACTATAGAGGTATAACCTTAACTTCATGCATTGGAAAGCTGTTTGAAAAACCTATTGTTAAGTGCAGTGAACTAAAAATGATAAAGTCAAATCCTGAGTTCCCTGACACGCTCCAGTTCGGCTTTAGGAAAGAACATCGGGCAATAATGTCCGTTTTTACCCTTATTGAAAGTATTCAATTTTACATACAGCGAGATTCTACAGTATATGCTGCTTTCTTAGACAATGAAAAGGCTTTCGACAGAATATGGCAGAACGGCCTTTTTTTATAAATTACACCAAATGGGTATCAGAGGAAATGCATTAGTTATTACACCATAGCTATACAAATAGCCAGGCTTTGGTTACTTATCAGGGTGAACAGTCAGATATATACCATGTAAGGCAAGGTGTCGGACAAGGAATAGTTCTCTTTGCTTGGTTCTTCTTAGTCTTTATTAATGACCTTATAACATCCCTTAGACAAGCAAATAGTGGTATTTGTGTATTTGGTCTAGATATTCCAACTGTTTTGCTTGCAGACGACACAACTCTTGTGAGCACCTCGCCACGAGGGCTTCAAAAAGCACTTGATACAGTACATTCATATGCCTCAAAGTGGCGACTAACGTATAACCCTTCAAAAAGTAATGTTGTTGTCTTCTCTAAGACAAAACAAAAGGGGTTAGATATTAACTGCAAACTTGGTGATATAAGTATAACAACAATCTGGTTAAGAATGATATTAACAACAAGTTTTTATGGCTGCGAACTGCTCTTTGATATTAAGGGTCAAAACATTAATGTAATTGAAAATACTCAACGCTATTTCGCGCGAACTGTACAAGGACTTGATAAAAGATCTCCATCAGAATCCACTATTGCTAATGTTGGGCTTTGGACAATGATCGGCTATATCGATAACTGTAAACTTCAGCTGCTTAGCCGCTTATGTAACTTAACCTGTAACAGTTTTGTTAAACATCTTTTTTGTGCATACATTGCAAATCCAACTACTCCTAAATCTGTTTGTGGAGATTTATTATCAGTTCTTAACAAGTATAACCTACGAAACAACCTTTGTACATATATAAGCTGTGGTGTATTTCCTACAAAGAGAAACTGGAAGCAACTGGTTAATAAAACCATTCATGAATATGACGAAAATATGTGGCGCAGAAAAGTTTCTGTCAATACAGGTCTTTCACGCTTCATGCTAATACACACAAAGTTAATTCACCATATATTATGGCAACTAGCATATCTGTACCCAGAACAGAGGTCAAGTTTAACATTTTATGTTAGAGTTTCATCACGTAACAAAACTTCCAGGGACTGTTTATCGTGTAACAAGCATGCCTTGATTATGATAATCACATCATATTACATTGTGAAGCTCTACTGCAGGAAAGAAATGAACTGTTTTCAACTTTTATTGATCTGCTTGATGTTGAAAGCTATGTCCAGTTGGAATTACAAGATGAAGAAGATACGTTGTCATTTTTCTTTGGTGCTGATACTCACTTCTCACAATGTATTGATATAGTTACATGGGAATCTGTTATGCTGATATTTTCTGCGTATGTACATACACTAAAGCCTTACCTTGATTATGTCATCTGATCTAACCTTTTGTACTGTTTGAATGACATGACACTGGTGCTACTGTCTTGTATTGTATAATCTTCGGATTAACTTCTGGAGGAAAAAAAGACTCTCTCTCTCTCTCTCTCTCTCTCTCTCTCTCTCTCTCTCTCTCTCTCTCTCTCTCTCTCTCTCTCTCTCTCATAAAATTTTCGCCACTATTTTGCCTGTTACTCCAAATGGTAGCCGGCAGATAATCGAGGCTGATTATTCTCTGGCGTTAGCATTTTATATTATGATTATCATGTTTTTGTCGCTTGTCTTATTATCATTATGGAAAGGGTTATGTCGCTTTTATTATCATAATATCGTGTCCGATAATTTACAGGCTATTATTTACAGTTGGAGTATAGCTATTAAGTGATACGTTAATTAACAAACGACAGGTACTACTCCCTCTCTGTTCATATTCTCTGTATCTATGGCAACAGTATGTTTGGGACTAATGATTTGGTAACTAAACGCGAACAGAACACCAACGTACCATATATCTAACGTGAAAACCAATACTCAACTGCGCATCTACAGCTGATAATCAAATGTCACAGGTACGACTAACGGCCATCACCATAATGATCAATAGCTGTCTGCAGCTAACTCTGGTGTAGGCTAATCCGGGCTAGATGCAGAGCATCCTGCTTGCAGTGATGGGATACAGATCGATAGCATCACAGTCAACCGGTCTATCAGGAAACAGTACAATGGAAGTAATCAGCTACTGAAGGTAAAGACCTGGTTTGGTCTACACATCTGGCGCACCTATGGCGATAAACAGCTGAGGCCACCTGTTAATTAATTATCAGCAGAAGATCTCGTGCCCTATGTTGACTAAGAGAGACTCGTTGAAGTGTGCAGATGTACGTGTCCGTTGATTGGAGACTATTCGATGTAAGGCAGGGACATAGTGGACGGACAATTAACCATATATTACACAAGAACGCGAATTGGACGCGCACCTGTACAAGGTGTGTATGGGGCGCAGATGCTGAGGCCTTACACAAGACAGGTATGTCATAGGTAATATGTTTTGTTTTGTTTGTTCTTTAACGCCACATTCAGCAATATTCCAGCTAAATGACGGCGGTCTGTAAATAATCGAGTCTGGGCCAGACAATCCAGTGATTGACATCATGAGCATCGATCTACGCAATGTTTGGATACGATGACATGCATCAACCAAGTCAACTAGCCTGAACACATCATCCCGGAAGTCGCCTCTTACGGCAAACATAATCGCTTTTTACAGCAAACTCGAGTTCCGGTAGACCTATTCTATCTTGGATCTTCACGGGTCCATAGTTAATTTGTAAGTAGAATGAGAAACAACAATGAACCCAAACTTCATGGACAGCCTAATAACATTGAAGAGAAAATATTAATCGTGTTTAATTGAGTATGTGTACGTGTAATTGTTACAGTCAATGTGTAACATGACCGAAATTTTCGCTTAGGCAATTTACAAAATGCCTAAATGTTTCAGATATTTTACATCGATCCATCATTATATTATGATAATGAATTCCCAACATTTTGATGTTTCATATGGTTAAAAAACGAAAGTCAATGTATATTTCTTGGCTTGTAATCCTAGCATTATAAGTGTATTGTGGTGTTTTAAGACTTTTTTTAAACTTCTCAATAATGTTCAGTAGATCTGTCAAATAACTTTTCAGTGAACATTTTATAATCCTTGCATTATAAGTGTATTGTGGTGTTTTAAGCCCTTTTATCATTTAACTTAAGCATTTATCCATGACATAAGCTTATGACATAAAAACATGTATGTCATACCCCAATGACATAAGTATGCAAATTAGAAATGCAAATTAGATAACCGGAAGAGGGAGCGGTTTGATTTGAAACTATATATTATAAGTGAAGTTACACCAGAGATATAATCAGATTACACAAATCGTTGTTGTTACCGTTATTAAAGTTTCAATTATTCTGCAAAAGTCTGTTCAAGTATTTTGTTTAAAATAATCCGAGGAACTTTTTTTCTCAGCGAATTGTTTATTTTGGTTTAAATGGCTATGGAACACTGCGCACGATCTATACGTAAGATTTCGACAAGTTGCTGATGTTAATGTTTAATGCAATTATTCCTTAATTTGGAAGCAAAAATGTGAAAAGGATAAATAGAATTCATCACTCGTGTTTTTTAATATGGGAAATATCAACCTCGTCCCGTTAATCGGTATCTGCCTCGCCAAAGGCTCGGCAAATACCGATTAACTAAGACTCGGTTGATATTTCCCATATTAAAAAACACTCGTGATGAATCCTCTATTTAAACTTCTCAATAATGTTCAGTAGATCTGTCAAATAACTTTTCAGTGAACATTTCTGTCATTTAACACATTGTCAGATTTTACACACTATCTGTAACACCTATAACGTTGTTTGAATGTTGCAAACAAAACACCCTTCAAAACCAAGTCATAAATATTTAATACTTTCATTTCCGGGCCCTGGCGTGACAGATATAATTGTCTTTACTCTTTCTGTAGCTTATGACGCCAGGTCTGTTGGAACTGCGTCCATTATTCAGACCACCAATAATGGCATATTATCAAATCACGCGCCTGCATGAAAATCTAATTTTCTGCTGGTTTATACTTTGCAAAAGGATTACGGAATCAGTGCCAACCGTTGGGCATACTATCGTACGCTTTAAGGAAATAATCCGCTGTTATTTTCATCACCGTTCCGCCCTTGAGGGGATTCCTAGCCCTAAGTACGTCATACTCGCGGACAGATTTTGGTTTGGTTTGTTGTTTAACGCCCCACTCAGCAATATTCCAGCTATATGACGGCGGTCTGTAGATAATAGAGTCTGGACTAGACAATCCAGTGATTGATATCATGAGCATCGATCCACGCAATTGGGATCGATGACATGCATCAACCACGTCAGCGAGCCTGACCACCCGATCCCGTTAGTCGCCTTTTACGACAAGCATAGTAACCTTTTACGGTAAGCATGGGTTGCTGAAGACCTATTCTACCCCTGAATCTTCACGGACAGAATCAACGATGAAAGTAAGGTTTGGATTGCTATAACGTTTATCTTACCTTATGTCACTGTCCATTCATATAATTTCTACAGCTAGTTGCCTTCCCGCCGAGTGGAATCTGTTCTTGACTGGTTTACTCTCTTGCTTGACAATTCATATTTACATGTAAAATTCTTGAATTTTAATGGTCAACGACGTTTCAATATGGGTGTATAACTGTATCACTTACAGACGATGATCAACGAGATATCAAGAGTAAGACTTGTTAAAAACAATGAATAGAACAAGGGAGATATACAACTTATTTCAATGAATACGACGTTTCGATGTAGAGACAAACAAGTCGTATGACTTGCTTGATAAGTATCTACACCGAACCGTCGCATTCATTGCGTTGTTCATCATCCCAACTTCTAAATGCCACTTAAAGAAGAAGTTGATGAATAGTGATTGAGTGATTGAGTTGGGTTTAACGCCACTTTTAACATTATTCCAGTTATATCACAGCGTGTCAGCTTCATGTGGGAGGAAAGCCCGAAGTGATGCAGGTCTCAGACGTTTACCACTTCGGTGAAACCCACGAGCACGGGTATGGTGCAAACCTAGAAACATAATCGGGTTGAACCGGGATTCGAACCCACAATCATAGGTTTCTGGCGTGCCCAAGGGACGCAACTCTGCACAGCGAATCGCGGCGCCTTAGACGACTGGGCCACCCCAGTTAATGAATAGAAAAACGTGCGGCTTAGCATCTGGAACGTTGGTGGATGGTCCAGCCGTGAGACAAGTATTAAGCAATATAGGGAGTCCGTATTGTCACACTTAAACTCTTATATTTTCGGGAATATGTGAGGGTCTTTTAAAAAACCCAAAATGTATATTGGTGGTCGTTTATATCCGACGTGGGAATAACCGCCATCATGTCGATCAGAGGCGTTAACGTGGCTCTGGTGAAGTTGCTGTATTTCACAACTCTTCACAAAACAATTTTGTGTTGAAAATTTAGATGCTGAATCTAAATTACATTGATGAATAAAATGACATTAGCTGGTGTAAACTTCCATCTATTCCAGATCCTGATTTTAGTTTTAGTCTTTTGCAGATGTTGTTTACCTAGAAATTTCGATGGTTAGAATGATTTTTGAAAATCTGTTTTATGCACATAAGAACTATGGAATTACTATGGAATATGCGGGGATTTTAACGCCCGTGTTGATACTGAGGGAGACTATATTGAAGAAGTCAACACTTATCGACCACGAGGTGATTGATTTTATTGAAAACATATACGGTGTCCTTCTTACGGATTACCTTGACTGTAAACGTTGTATGTTTAACGAGCGGATCGGTAATCAGGAAGCTACTTGTGTTAAAAATGGCGGCTCCGTTGTTGCGTATATATATTATAACAACACACGAAGACCTTCACAATTTCACTGAATTCAAAGTAAAAGCAAAGTCATTGGCATCACTTATACGTTATAAACGCAATGATATCCATTCGTTTTTTCGGAAGTGCTTATATGCCGTGTTTTAAACAGTTATAAATGATGTTGTTTTGCTAAAATATGTTTGACACATTTGCTTTTAAATATAGCTTTGTATTTATGACACACTCTGTGTGTGTGTGTGTGTGTGAGAGAGAGAGAGAGAGAGAGTGTGTGTGTGTGTTAGTGTGAGTGTGTGTGTGTGTGTGTGTGTGTGTGTGTTGGTTCTCGTCGCTATATGGCTGAAATAACGCTAAGCGACGCTAAATTTTAACTCATTTAAGAAAGCGCAGAGGTAAGGGCTAGGGTTAACGGAATCGAATTCCAATTGGTGTGACATCGCTACGTATGCGTATATGCTGCCTATGATAATTTTTTAACATGTTTGTATCCTGAACTTGAAATTTGTATTTGCTCAATGGTAACAGGAGTAAAACGTTTAAAGGAAAATCCTTTTTAAGCCCTACAGGTCCGATATTCTCCAGTTCCAGTGCGATTGGCTGCGCTGTAAATCGCGATTCCAAAGAACACAAAACAAAAGTGAAACATAAGTATTTAGCGGTGCGTAAAGCACTGACAAGTTGCACCGTAATGTAAACGTTCATGACACCGACAGCGCGAAGTTTGGAAATGTTGGCACAATTGGTATGGCTACCGACCATCGTGATCCTATACCCCGAAAGGAGACGTTCCGCTAAGGCCAGTGTTCTTTATAAGTGGAAATCTGACGATAGTTTTATATCATGGGTTGCCCCAGTGGGGTCATCAGATGAATCTCATTATCAGAGGATCACTGAAGAGATGGACAATGGTACGGTTGAATCTCTTCTCAACAGACACATACAGAGTTAATTGACTAATGACCCATGCTTGCCGTGAAAGGCGACTATGCTTGTCGTAAGAGGATCGAGTGGTCAGGCTCGCTGACTTGGTTGATGCATGTCATCGTATCCCAATTGCGTGAAGCGATGCTCATGATGTCAATCGCTGGATTGTCTGGTCCAGACTCGATTATTTACAGACCGCCGTAATATAGCTGGAATATTGCCGAGTGCGGCGTAAAACAACAAACAAACAAACAAATACTTGACCAATGAAGGAGTAATTAACTCCATTAAGCGCCCTTCGTGTGGTCAGATTTTATCTCTGCCGAAGCACTTAAAAATAGTTTTTGTATAGATAGTTTGTTTATAATCTTTGATTTTGGGTTTCAATAATAACATTTGTCCTCAAATTTGGAGACAATGTGCTACTTTCCCTGTCAAAAAGTCAGTCCTCATCCACTAGACCCCTCAGGATACCGTTTCCACTGATATCAGTATCCTGTAAAATCTCTGCTGAACCTCCGTTTTACTAAATAGATCGATTATAATGATGTTTTGGTTGACAAGCAGAATGGATTCCGAAGGAAAAGTAGCAGCGTAGAACATAATTATGTGTACATTATATTCATTTATTAAAAACAGAAAATTGAAGAAACGTTTGACCTTTGTATGTTACAT